TCGATCAACTGGAAGAAAGAGTATCAGCGATTGAGGATCAAATGAATGAAACGAAGCAAGAAGAGAAACCTAAAGAAAAAAGAAGAAAAAGAAATGAACAAAGCCTGCAAGAAGTATGGGATTATGTAAAAAGACCAAATCTACGTCTGACTGGGGTGCCTGAAAGTGAGGGGGAAAATGGAACCAAGTTGGAAAACACTCTTCAGGATATCATCCAGGAGAACTTCCCCAACCTAGTAGGGCAGGGCAACATTCAAATTCAGGAAATACAGAGAACACCACAAAGATACTCCTCGAGAAGAGCAACTCCAAGACACATAATTGCCAGATTCACCAAAGTTGAAATGAAGGAAAAAAATCTTAAGGGCAGCCAGAGAGAAAGATCGGGTTACCCACAAAGGGAAGCCCATCAGACTAACAGCAGATCTCTCAGCAGAAACTCTACAAGCCAGAAGAGAGTGGGGGCCAATATTCAACATTCTTAAAGAAAAGAATTTTCAACCCAGAATTTCATATCCAGCCAAACTAAGTTTCATAAGTGAAGGAGAAATAAAATCCTTTACAGATAAGCAAATGTTTAGAGATTTTGTCACCACCAGACCTGCCTTACAAGAGACCCTGAAGGAAGCACTAAACATGGAAAGGAACAACTGGTACCAGCCATTGCAAAAACATGCCAAAACGTAAAGACCATCGAGGCTAGGAAGAAACTGCATCAACTAACGAGCAAAATAACCAGTTAATATCATAATGGCAGGATCAAGTTCACACATAACAATATTAACCTTAAATGTAAATGGACTAAATGCTTCAATTAAAAGACACAGACTGGCAAACTGGATAAAGAGTCAAGACCCATCAGTTTGCTGTATTCAGGAGACCCATCTCACATGCAGAGACATACATAGGCTCAAAATAAAGGGATGGAGGAAGGTCTACCAAGCAAATGGAGAACAAAAAAAAGCAGGGGTTGCAATACTAGTCTCTGATAAAACAGACTTTAAACCATCAAAGATCAAAAGAGACAAAGAAGGCCATTACATAATGGTAAAGGGATCAATTCAACAGGAAGAGCTAACTATCCTAAATAGATATGCACCCAATACAGGAGCACCCAGATTCATAAAGCAAGTCCTTAAAGACTTACAAAGAGACTTAGACTCCCATACAATAATAATGGGAGACTTCAACACTCCACTGTCAACATTAGACAGATCAACGAGACAGAAAGTTAACAAGGATATCCAGGAATTGAACTCATCTCTGCAGCAAGCAGACCTAATAGACATCTACAGAACTCTCCACCACAAATCAACAGAATATACATTCTACTCAGCACCACATCACACTTATTCCAAAATTGACCACATAATTGGAAGTAAAGCACTCCTCAGCAAATGTACAAGAACAGAAATTATAACAAACTGTCTCTCAGACCACAGTGCAATCAAACTAGAACTAGGACTAAGAAACTCAATCAAAACCACTCAACTACATGGAAACTTAATAACCTGCTCCTGAATGACTACTGGGTACATAACGAAATGAAGGCAGAAATAAAGATATTCTTTGAAACCAATGAGAACAAAGATACAACATACCAGAATCTCTGGGACACATTTAAAGCAGTGTGTAGAGGGAAATTTATAGCACTAAATGCACACAAGAGAAAGCTGGAAAGATCTAAAATTGGCACTCTAACATCACAATTAAAAGAACTAGAGAAGCAAGAACAAACACATTCAAAAGCTAGCAGAAGGCAAGAAATAACTAAGATCAGAGCAGAACTGAAGGAGATAGAGACACAAAAAACCCTCCAAAAAATCAATGAATCCAGGAGTTGGTTTTTTGAAAAGATCAACAAAATTGATAGAGTTCTAGCAAGACTAATAAAGAAGAAAAGAGAGAAGAATCAAATAGACGCAATAAAAAATGATAAAGGGGATATCACCACCGACCCCACAGAAATACAAACTACCATCAGAGAATACTATAAACACCTCTACGCAAATAAACTAGAAAATCTAGAAGAAATGGATAATTTCCTGGACACTTACACCCTCCCAAGACTAAACCAGGAAGAAGCTGAATTCCTGAATAGACCAATAGCAGGCTCTGAAATTGAGGCCATAATTAATAGCCTACCAACGAAAAAAAGTCCAGGACCAGATGGATTCACAGCTGAATTCTACCAGAGGTACAAGGAGGAGCTGGTACCATTCCTTCTGAAACTATTCCAATCAATAGAAAAAGAGGAAATCCTCCCTAACTCATTTTATGAGGCCAACATCATCCTGATACCAAAGCCTGGCAGAGACACAACGAAAAAAGAGAATTTTAGACCAATATCCCTGATGAACATCGATGCAAAAATCCTGAATAAAATACTGGCAAACCGGATCCAGCAGCACATCAAAAAGCTTATCCACCATGATCAAGTGGGCTTCATCCCTGGGATGCAAGGCTGGTTCAACATACACAAGTCAATAAACGTAATCCAGCACATAAACAGAACCAAAGACAAAAACCACATGATTATCTCAATAGATGCAGAAAAGGCCTTTGACAAAATTCAACAGCCCTTCATGCTAAAAACGCTCAATAAATTCGGTATTGATGGAACATATCTCAAAATAATAAGAGCTATTTATGACAAACCCACAGCCAATATCATACTGAATGGGCAAAAACTGGAAAAATTCCCCTTGAAAACTGGCACAAGACAGGGATGCCCTCTCTCACCACTCCTGTTCAACATAGTGTTGGAAGTTCTGGCTAGGGCAATCAGGCAAGAGAAAGAAATCAAGGGTATTCAGATAGGAAAAGAAGAAGTCAAATTGTCCCTGTTTGCAGATGACATGATTGTGTATTTAGAAAACCCCATTGTCTCAGCCCAAAATCTCCTTAAGCTGATAAGAAACTTCAGCAAAGTCTCAGGATACAAAATTAACGTGCAAAAATCACAAGCATTCTTATACACCAGTAACAGACAGAGAGCCAAATCATGAATGAACTTCCATTCACAATTGCTTCAAAGAGAATGAAATACCTAGGAATCCAACTTACTAGGGATGTAAAGGACCTCTTCAAGGAGAACTACAAACCACTGCTCAGTGAAATAAAAGAGGGCACAAACAAATGGAAGAACATACCATGCTCATGGATACGAAGAATCAATATCGTGAAAATGGCCATACTGCCCAAGGTAATGTATAGATTCAATGCCATCCCCATCAAGCTACCAATGAGTTTCTTCACAGAATTGGAAAAAACTGCTTTAAAGTTCATATGGAACCAAAAAAGAGCCCGCATTGCCAAGATAATCCTAAGTCAAAAGAACAAAGCTGGAGGCATCACGCTACCTGACTTCAAACTATACTACAAGGCTACAGTAACCAAAACAGCATGGTACTGGTACCAAAACAGAGATATAGACCAATGGAACAGAACAGAGTCCTCAGAAATAATACCACACATCTACAGCCATCTGATCTTTGACAAACCTCAGAAAAACAAGAAATGGGGAAAGGATTCCCTATTTAATAAATGGTGCTGGGAAAATTGGCTAGCCATAAGTAGAAAGCTGAAACTGGATCCTTTCCTTACTCCTTATATGAAAATTAATTCAAGATGGATTAGAGACTTAAATGTTAGACCTAATACCATAAAAACCCTAGAAGAAAACCTAGGTAATACCTTTCAGGAGATAGGCATGGGCAAGGACTTCATGTCTAAAACACCAAAAGCAATGGCAACAAAAGCCAAAATTGACAAATGGGATCTAATTAAACTAAAGAGCTTCTGCATAGCAAAAGAAACTACCATCAGAGTGAACAGGCAACCTACAGAATGGGAGAAAATTTTTGCAATCTACTCATCTGACAAAGGGCTAATATTCAGAACCCACAAAGAACTCAAACAAATTTACAAGAAAAAAACAAACAACCCCATCGAAAAGTGGGCAAAGGATATGAACAGACAGTTCTCAAAAGAAGACATTCATACAGCCAACAGACACATGAAAAAATGCTCATCATCACTGGCCATCAGAGAAATGCAAATCAAAACCACAATGAGATACCATCTCACACCAGTTAGAATGGCAATCATGAAAAAGTCAGGAAACAACAGATGCTGGAGAGGATGTGGAGAAATAGGAACACTTTTACACTGTTGGTGGGATTGTAAACTAGTTCAACCATTATGGAAAACAGTATGGCGATTCCTCAAGGATCTAGAACTAGAAGTACCATATGACCCAGCCATCCCATTACTGGGTATATACCCAAAGGATTATAAATCATGCTGCTATAAAGACACATGCACATGTATGTTTATTGCGGCACTATTCACAATAGCAAAGACTTGGAATCAACTCAAATGTCCATCAGTGACAGACTGGATTAAGAAAATGTGGCACATATACACCATGGAATACTATGTAGCTATAAAAAAGGATGAGTTTGTGTCCTTTGTAGGGACATGGAGGCAGCTGGAAACCATCATTCTCAGCAAACTATCGCAAGAACAGAAAACCAAACACCGCATGTTCTCACTCATAGGTGGGAACTGAACAATGAGATCACTTGGACTCGGGAAGGGGAACATCACACACCAGGGCCCATCACGGGGAGGGGGAGGGATTGCATTGGGAGTTATACCTGATGTAAATGATGAGTTGATGGGTGCTGACAAGTTGATGGGTGCAGCACGCCAACATGGCACAAGTATACATGTGTAACAAACCTGCACGTTATCCACATGTACCCTAGAACTTAAAGTACAATAAAAAAAAAAAAAAAGAATACTTTCTGAAAGTGTTTATTCATACAAATAAAGGCTTGAACCATGAGGTAGGAACACAAATGGGCCACGGAATCACTCATTCCACAGTATACACCAAGTGCCCTTGAAGTACTGGGCACGGCTCTAGGATCGGGGGTGTATTGGTGAAATAGAAGCAAGCTGCCTGCTCAGATGGCAGGGAATGGGGGAAAACAGGGAGAAAATTTCCTGTCGAGTAGTATATTTACTGGAAATAGACATTCGACTTGCATGTCCCTTTTTGGAAATGTGCCTGTGTCCCGGGCTGGGTTGGGGCCCCACTGAACTTTGGCTCTGACACAGCTGTTGCCACACTCAGTGGAACTGAAGCCATGCTTGCCTTCACCCGGCATCCCTCACCCCAACTCTCCCCACCACAACACACTTCCCATGCCAGCCTGGGGACTCTCAAAGGTGGCTTCATCATTAGGTTTGTGGCGGGGTCGCACTGAAGTAAGTCTTGGCACTCAAAGGGATGGGAATTGAATGAAGACATGAGATTACTGGCAGGAGCCCTCTCCATGGAAATCTGTGGGCTCACACGTTTACTAATGTTGCTGCAGCCCTGCACCCACCTTGGCCTTGGGCAGCCATACTCTAGGGCTTTTGTAACCTCTCCATGTCAGGAACTCAAATTAGACCTGGGTTTGGAGGCAGTACCCTCAGCTGGCCTTTGGCGGAAGGTTTTTGTGCAAGGCATTTCCCAAGTGCTGGCAGGATTGTGTCACAGACACAAAGCAAACTTTTGCTGGGCTCCAGGTGACCGCCCACAGTTTATTATAAAGGTGACTGCAGCCTGCAGTCACCAGCACTGCCTGGCTCCCGGTACTTCCTGATCTCAGTATGGCACTGTCCTGGATTCTTACAGTCCTGAGCCTCCTACCTCTGCTGGAAGCCCAGATTCCATTATGTGCCAACCTAGTACCGGTGCCCATCACCAACGCCACCCTGGACCGGGTGAGTGCCTGGGCTAGCCCTGCCCTGAGCACATGGGCAGCTACCTCCCTTCTCTGGCTTCCCTTTCCCTGCTGGCTGTGGTCGGCCCCCCGCTCCTGGCTCTGCCCTTTTCTCTTCTGGGTCCCTGGGTGAAATTCTTACCAGCCCAGGGGACTCTGGAGGCACCCCCTGACTGCCTCCAAACTCAGAAGCCTCACTGCAGAGTCCTTCACAGAGTATGGTTCTGTGCTGGGGCTGGAGGGGCTGCCTGGGGGACAATGACTGATCTTCGGGGAGAGCTCCTGCATGTCCACTGCCCATCAGGGGCCTCATCTCCCCATTTGCAAAATCAGGGAGAGATCTGCCTGAGTCTCTTCCCGGCTGACAGTCAAAGATTCAGCATCAAGCCCCCATCACCAGCTTCCACCTTGTCCCCAGATCTCTGGCAAGTGGTTTTATATTGCATCGGCCTTTCGAAACGAGGAGCACAATAAGTCGATTCACGAGATCCAAGCAACCTTCTTTTACTTTACCCCCAACAAGACAGAGGACACGATCTTTCTCAGAGAGTACCAGACCCGGTGAGAGTCCCCATTCCAACACACCCCCATCTCAGCTTCTGGCCGGAAGACCCTCTTCCTGGCCTTGGCCTTCCCATGGGTGGAACCGGGAGGGCTGGCTTTAATCTCCACCGGACTCTTGCCCCTGGACTGTGATGGGCGATTGGCCACTTCTCAATAATCTTCCTGTTTTCCTCCTGCCTTCTGTTTGGCTTTAGACAGAACCAGTGCATCTATAACACTAGCTACCTGAATGTCCAGCGGGAAAATGGGACCATCTCCAGATACGGTGAGGGCCAGTCCTCAGGCAGGAGGGTTCACCATGGGAACAGGGCAGGTCAGCATAAGGTGGGGGCTGGATATAGAGCCCTGGAGGCTTTGGGCACAGAGAAATAACCACTAACATTTTTTGAGCTCTTACAACGTCCTCAGAAACAACTCTAACAGGACAGTACGAGAATCAGATGAGGAAACAGAAGAACAGAGACCTCAAATAGTTTCCCGGAGGTCACACAGCTCATAATTAGAACTAGAATTGGAACTCCAGGCTGGCTTCAGACCTGCCTCTCTCTTATGCCCTCTTTAAGATCCTTTGGAAACCAAGGGTGGAAGCCTGTGTGTTGGAGAGGTGGTGCCTTCAACTATGTCCTCCATCACCACAGAGATGGCGCATAGCAGGGAGCTGATGGAGCTGAACTGACATCATTTAGCAGCCCAAGCCTCCTCTCTGGGCCTCATTTTCCTCATCTGTAAAATGGGGAGAAAGGCCCTGACAGCCATGGTCTGTGTGAGGCTCCTGAGATCCCATGTACAAAACATGCTTGGCGTGGAGCCGGGCATGCAGCATGGACTGGGCACACGGTGGCCCAAAGAAGCCCCGGGCCTTCACTGATGGGCTGTGTCGTCCTGGACACACCTAGGTACCTCACCTCTAGGACGGGCACCATTGTGCCATCCCGTGTTCTCACCCAGAGGCTCTTTTTCCCTTCCAGAGGGAGGCCAAGAGCATTTCGCTCACCTGCTGATCCTCAGGGACATGAAGACCTTCATGCTGGCTTTCGAAGTGAACGATGAGAAGAACTGGGGGGTGTCTGTCTATGGTAGGCATGCTTAGCAGCCCCAAGCTCATGCCCCACTCAGGCCTCACCCCCCATTCACCCACCCCTGGGGCTCGGCCCCCAGAACCTCAGCCCTCCCTGGCCTCTCGACCGGACCCCATCACGTCCCCAGTCAGTCTCCTTTCTCCGCCTGCAGCTGACAAGCCAGAGACGACCGAGGAGCAACTGGGTGAGTTCTACGAAGCTCTCGACTGCTTGCGCATTCCCAGGTCAGACGTCGTGTACACCGATCAGAAAAAGGTAAACGCAAGGGATTGGGCAGTGCCTGCCTTGTCCATGGCTCAACTTGGGCAGCCCCAGAGGCCCAGAGCGGGAGAGCTGCCAGGCAAGGCTGCACAGCTATGCAGCTCTTCTGCCTTTAGGCAGCTGCCTCACTGTAGGGACAGCTGAGCTCTACCGAGGCCCAGGGGTGGTGGATGAGAGTCCAGGAGGGAGAAGTCCCTGTGAAACCAGGGAGGACCTCAAAGCTAACAGAAGGGAACAGCGTGAGCCAAGGGTTTGGGGGATTGACAGCTGGAGGGGATGCAATGCGGGGAGTTACCACCTACAAAAGCCTCCCAAACCCCAGGCTTTCATCTCACCTCCACTCCCTGCTCGTTTTTAATACCCGTGCAGTGGGGAATTGATACTGTGGTTTTCAGTGTCACCCACACTGCAGCACTGCCACAGTCACCATCCCGATTTTTGCTCCAAATGAGAATTACTGTATCGTGAGCTCCTTAACACTTTTCTTTAAACCTGTATTGGGAAGACTTGCCTTGGTGTGGCCCCGTGCCCTAATATCTGTGAAGTCACAGCGCAGATGAGCTCGTTCCCATTTTTAAAATACATACGTGCAGTATTTTCATGACTATTCAAAGAAAAACAATTCCATCCATTTGCCACCAGAGATGACCACCAGTGGTGTGAACTAGTGCCCCAGCCCCAGCCCCAGGATCCTGGGAGAGGGCATATGAACACAACCACTGCAGTCAGCTCACCTGATGCACAGCCTGGTTCCTGCACTGTCCGGTTAGGGAGCCTCGAATGGGTCCCACGGCCATCCTGAGCCTCAGTTACATCATCTGCATAGTAGTGGTGGTGGTGAGGAATTCAGGAGCTGCAGCATAAGGGCCCAGCAGGTCCTAAGTGCTCAGTAAACGTCTGTGGTTCTTAAGGGTCTGAGCTCCCATTTTAGAGGCAAATAAGCTGAGGCTCAGAGACAGAAACGACCTGCCAAAGATCACCCAGCTTGGAAGTGGCAGTGCCAGGGTTGGAGCCCTGGTTGAACTGGTTCCACAGGCCAGAGCGCATTCTGCCCTCTCCCTGGAAGACCTCCCATCCTTTCCCTATCTCTCTGCTTCCCCCTCACCCCAACTGCCCGCTGCCTTCTAGGATAAGTGTGAGCCACTGGAGAGGCAGCACGAGAAGGAGAAGAAACAGGAGGAGGGGGAGAGGCAGCACGAGAAGGAGAAGAAACAGGAGGAGGGGGAATCCTAGAAGGACACAGCCTTGGATCAGGACAGAGACTTGGGGGCCATCCTGCCCCTCCAGCCTGACATATGTACCTCAGCTTTTTCCCTCATTTGCATCAATAAAGCTTCTGTGTTTGGAACAGCTAGGTTGTTAGTCATTTCTTCATTCATTCATTCTGAAGCCTGCCCTGAGTTGAACCCTGGCCGGGCACTGGATAAGACACTGTCCCTGGTGGGAAGAGCCCCACATGTGCCAGGATGGATGATGACAGGCACCGAGTGCTGTGGGAACCCGGCACTGTGGGAAGACGCTGTCTTCTGCAGAAGTGTGGGAAGGCCTCCTGGAAGGGGCACATGAACCAATCGAGAAAGATGAGGAGCATAACACAATCTGCTGTTCCTGTGTACAATGTGTGATGATCAAATCAGGGTCATGAACATTTCATTTCCACCACCTCAAATGTTTACCATTTCTTTGTGTTGGGAACATTCAGTATTACACAGTTCCCCATAAATATGTACATTATGTGTCCATTTAAAATAATACAAGCAAACAAATGTGAATTTCTAAACTGAGACTAGGGTAAGGCCTTCCTCCTACTAGCAAGATTGTAATAAAACTTCAACTACTCATTAAAAAAAAAAAAAAAAAAAAAAAAACCCTTTCTGTTTCTGCTGCAAGCAAGGAAATGAGAGGATGCATTTGAGTAACCTTGAGGCACAAGACCCAGAACAGGAGTGGAGGTGTGAAATGGTTTGGCTCTGTGTCCTCACCCCAAATCTCACATGGAATTTTCAGCCCCATGTGTTGGAGGTGGGTCCTGGTGGGAGGTGATTACATCATGGGAGTGGTTTCTAATGGTTTAGCCCCATCCCCTGAGTGCTGTTTCTCACGAGATCTGGTTGTTGAAAAGTGTGTAGCACCTCCCCCTTCGCTCTCTCTCCTGCTGTCTTGTGAAAAAGGGACTTGCTTCCTCTTTGCCTTCCACCATGATTGTAAGTTTCCTGAGGCCTCCCAGCCATGCTTCCTGTTAAGCCTGCAGAACTGTGAGTCAATTAAGCCTCTTTTTTTTCATAAACTATCAAGTCTCAGGTATTTCTTTATAGCAATGTGAGAACAGACTAATACAAGGTGGATCAGGTGGGGAGAGTTCAGGCATGCGGTGCCAATCACAAGGACCTTATTCCAGTATTACCATGGCCATGTGGGGAGGCACGTTGGGGGTCAAGGCTGCAGGCAGGAAGGCCTGAGTGAAGGCTGCTGTGGGCATCCATGCAAGAGGTAGTTGCCTGGGCCAGGGAAGGACTGGGGTGATGCAGAGGGCTTGGGGCCCAGGCCAGAGGGGCTGGGTGTCTCCATGGACGTGTCCTCAGGGTGCTCACCTGGGAGACACAGAAGAAGGAGACAACACATAAGGGTAGGGCTGGTCCCTGGAAATCAGCTGACATGTTGGAAATATGGAACCCTGAGGTGGAGCCAAGCCGGAGGCATGGCCCACTCAGTGGCACAAGCCTCAAAGGGCCGGCCTCACCCAGACCTGGGTGCTCGTGATTGACAGCCTCTTGCTACATGAAGGAAGCAGCACCCCTCCTGTGGCAGAAAAATTGGGCCTGAGTTGTTTGAGCAATTCCATGTGCGCAGCTGTCTACACCATCCCAGGTGACAGGACCATGAGCCTGAGTCCCTGATGCCCCGGGGTCTAGTCCTGTGTCCTCAGGTACCACTCCTCTTTGTACCTCCTGTCCTAACAGCCAAGCTCCACACGGCCAAGACTACGGCACCCTTTGCTCAGCACTCAAACCACTGCTGTGCCCACAGCACAGAGGCTGGGGACACCGGCCTGATGTCCTCAGAAGGCAAGGGGACAGAACAGCCTCTGGGGCCCCACAATGGCCTGGAACTGAAGACTCAACACCTACAAGAAGTTTTTCCATTTCAGTGTTACTATTAGTGAGACACCATTTTAAACCCTACTTAGGAGGATCTGCTGAAAATTAAAACAGAAATGAGTCGTGGTGGGCAGGGCAGGGAGAAGCAAGGGAGACGAGAAGTGGGGAAGGTAGAAGAAAAAGCCACGTGAAGAAGAAACAGGAGGTCAAGAGAAAAAGAATCATGGAGGTACAGGAAGCAAAAAACACACAACAAAGAATGTGGACTTTGGAGTCAAACTAACAAGTTCAAACACAGGCTCTCTCCCAAACCAGTTTGGGCAGATGGCCCAGTGGAACCTCTCTCTCATCAGTAAAAGCGGGGCAGACTGAGGGTCTGGAGGGTTAGCATATGGACTGTGTGAAGCAGGACGTGCAAAAGGCTTAGCACAGGGATCAGGGTCCAGCAGCTGCTCCCTAAATGGCAGCTGCTGTTCGCTATTGAAAGGAACACTGGAAGTCCAGGCACCGCGGCTCACACCTGTAATCCCAGCACTTTGGGAGGCTGAGGTGGGCGGATCACCTGAGGTTGGGAGTTCAAGATCAGCCTGACCAACATGGAGAAACCCTGTCTCTACAAAAATACAAAATTAGCCGGACGTGGTGGTGCATGCCTGTAATCCCAGCTACTCAGGAAGCTGAGGCAAGAGAATCGCTTGAACCCAGGAGGCGGAGGTTGCAGTGAGCTGAGATTCCGCCACTGTACTCCAGCCTGGGCAACCAGAGTGAAACTCCATCTCAAAAAAAAAAAAAAAAAAAAAGGAAGAAAAAGAAAGAAAGAAAGAGAGAAAGGGGCACTGGAGTGTCCAGGTGCATGCTCTTGTAGACAGCAACTTGCTGTGTGCCTCGTTTACATCTCCGGCCTCAGTCAAAAGGGACTTGGTTAGGTAGCCCCACATCAAAGCCCTCTGCAGTTGAAAGATTTGTGGTTCTGAGATAGGCAAAGGGGGAAAACTGGAGAAACAGAAGCCACCAGAGGGAGGCAGGCAGAGCACCCAACAGGTCCCCTGGGAAAGGGCTTGTCTGGGCTTCAAATCTTCCACCCCATAAACTTGACTTTAGAAGGCAAAAGTTTAATGACACACAGCAGAGACACGGATGGCTTTGGGTATTTTTTTTTTTTTTTGTCTTCTTTTCTTTTTTTAAGATCAATATTCATTCTTCATTTGCCCTTGTAACGAAAATAGATTTTTAAATGCCTCAAATATACAAACATAATTGATGCACACACATTCCAGAAATGCAGAGGTATGCACTGCCACGGGGTGGGGGTGCAGGAGGCAGCCTGGCCTCGAGGCCACAGACCGTGCCCCAGCCCGGGCCTGGCAGGTAGCTGGCCACTGATAAATGCCACTGGGATCCTAGGAGAAGCTGGGGACCATGTGTGAGGTACTGAAGGGGACCGCGGTGGATGGCATCCTGGGCACTTTGTAGCTTGTCTCCACCCCAGCAGGTCTGTGGGAAAGGCCTCTGCTGCCATAGAGAAGCTGGACACATGTCACCCTGGGGTCCTGACATCCTAAAATGCCCCACTGACTGCCAGTCACTAGGAGAAAGGTCTCCAGCTGTGCCCTTCCCAGAGATGCTTGCCCCAGAGTGACTGGTCACAGGTGGGGGACAGGTTTGCTCCAGAAACCGTAGGCCTTTCCTTTCTTGTCTGGCCCCCTAAGGAGGAACCAAGATCAGGAAAACTCCCCAGTTTAAAAAAATATCTGTCCATCTGTATACAAAATACCTATTATTAGGGGGAGGTGGACACATGCAGGACCAGGAGAGACTGCCCGAGGCTCTGTCTGGGCCGAAGGAGGCCTCGCTCACAGCACCTCTGTGAGGGGACTGGTGCTCCTGGGAAGTCACTTCTCTTGGTGACTGAACTGACACCCCCTCCACTTGGAAAGCACAGGGACAGAGCAGATGGGGCCCGTGCTGGAGGTAGACCCTCCTGGTGAGGAACCATACGGGCTTTCTGGGCCTCAGTAGCTCCAGCCCACTCCTGGCCTGGCAGGCCACCTGCTCACCTGCCCACTCATCTGTCTCTGGGCCCCCAGTGAAGTCAGAAGAGGCAGGAGCCCCGCAGGCTGTGAGCCTGGCGCAGGTCGGCCGACAGTGAGCTTCTCATCTGCTTGGTGGTGGAGCGGACGCTCTCAGCAGCCTGCACGGCCCGGCTCAGGGCCTTGTTGAGCTCCTCTAGGTCACCCAGGTCGAGCTGGATGGAGTGCCGGTGTCTCCGGGCTGGAGGGGGAGAGGCTGTGGGGGGCCACTTGGCGGCTGGTTGGGCTGAGGTAGGTCCTGCGGGCGCATAGTACCTGAGGAGAGAAGTGAGTGGGCTCATTACACACAGGGAGGGCTGGGGACAAGCCAAGGAGCACCGCGTGTGGGGTTAACCCCCTGCTAAATCCCAGCTGGGCCACTGGCTCCGACTCTCTGGGTCTCAATTTCTTTACCTCTAAAATGGGAGTAACGAGCACATATCCAGGGATTTCTTAGAAAGATGAAGGAAGATAACAACACGAGTGTCTGACCCAGAACTGGTGTTCAAGGACAGGAAGTTCAATCTACCTGTTCGTGTGATTTACTGCCCATCTAGTACATGCCAGCCAGTGTGCCAGGCTCTGGGGTTACAGTGGGACAAGAAAACATGGACTCCTGCAACTTTCTTGGAGCCAGATCTTGGGAAGGCCAGGATCACCCCAGGCCTGAAAGCAAAACCCCCTCACTGGAGAATATCTGGGGGTTCCATTTGCCAAGCATGGGGTGCTGGATAAAGGCAATAATTAATAACAATAATAATAATAGGGATTCTGCAGGAGTGGGAGGGTCTGGCCCCATGTCCTGGGAAGTGGGTAGAAGGGCATCCTTCCTAGCCCAGTCCTACAGGAATGTGAGGTGCTGTTTAAAAGTGCTGTGGGAATGGGCTCAGAAGCCCATTGAGATGAAGCACAGATTTCCCTGAGAGGTGACAATAGCATCCATCAGGGCCACTAAGTTCAGGGTTCAAGGAAACCAGCAGTGGGCAAGAGGGGGGTGTGGCCTCAGCACTGTTGAATAAAGGGTATGTGTGGTAGAGAAGGGAGATAAAGAAGCATGGACCTAAATCAGGAATACGTTTAGGAGGATGTAGAAGAGTCATTCATTGGCATCTTGTTTGGCACACTGTAAACTCTGGCTTTATTCTGGAGCCCCCACTTTCAACTTGCGTTATTATACAGTGTG